TTGGAAACAATATTCGATTTTTCGGAAAAATCGTAGAAAATTCGCGTCGTTTTTTGCGGAAAATTTCGACACAAGCGTTCATTCGAAAGAACGCGCGATTTTTCCAAAAAATCGTAGAGAATTCGCATCCTCTTGGCGGAAAATTTCGTTGCGAGCATCGGTGAGAGAAAAATCGGCGCTTGGAATGGTCGGAGATAAATTCCTGGAGATTAGACTGGCGATGGGATAAATCCGTCGGATCAGTAGGTCATGCGGTGCGTGTACTTTTTGCTGCACACGGTTTCTCGCGATGTCTGGTCGGCCAGGAAACACCAGTCAGCGACAGTTTTATACTCTTTGCTTCTTGACCTTGCCCCAGAGAGGCCACCGATCGGAACACTATTCGAAGCATGTAGGGTAGAGCAGTAGTTTCTTTCCTCGCCGCTGGACGCTTAACGGTCTCGGTCCAGGCCGATCGAATCGCCTCGCCGTGTATCCTTGAAGTATCTTCCAGTGACCAACTGGAGAACGATCAACCTGTTGAGACCGATCGTATCATTGGCCATTACACGCTAAATCCGCCGGCTATAACGCTCGTCGCATTTAAAACCGATAAGATATCGATATGCACGCGCTAATTTACGAAACGTACACGAGTACCATGCGTACGACATGCTAATAAGGAAAGTGCAGACGCTGTTAATAAGAAATAATAATAATAATAATAATAATAATAATAATAATAATAATACATTAACATGAAGGCAGAAACCCGTGTCGTAAATATACACCGAACCCCATTCCGGTACAGGACAATTCGTCTCGACAAACCAGATCCGAGGCTCATAGTCGATTGGAATAAAATGACATACATCGTGAACGTAACAGAACCAACCACACATGCGCGCACCGCAGAAATAAAACGCGTATGGGACATGCATAACGTCGCCATGGTACCAATAATAATATCCGCGACTGCAGTTGTCCCGAATGCATTACATATCAGCCTCGATAAATTAAACATAATCCCGCACCTATCTAAAACAATGCGAAAAGCAATCCAACACCTGCCATATATTATTCGCAAATTATAACTCTGAAATAGGATAAACTCGGTGAGTAGTAAAAATATCCCACGAATTCCCGATTTATTACCGTTGAGTATATCACCCAGAAATACTGGAGGAAAAGGCCAAGAAGAAAAGGAAGAAAAGGGCCATTGTCCTTCGGGATAAAAGGATTACGATTGCGGGAGAAATAAAAATAAAATAGTGGGAGAGTGATTTTTCGATGGAGGAAGATTGGTTTTTGGGGAGGAGAGGGCGAAGGAATTCCCACGAATTCCCGGTTTGTTACCGTTGAGTATATTATCCAGAAATACTGGAGGCCAAAAAGAAAAGGAAGAAAAGGACCATTGTCCTCAGGGATAAAAGGATTACGATTGCGGGAGAAATAAAAATAAAATAGTGGGAGAGTGATTTTTCGATGGGGGAAGATTGGTTTTTGGAGAGGAGAGGGCGAAAGAGGATACGGAGCGGAATTGAAATCGGGCGCGAAAATGGTCTGCCGGATATGTTCCGCGTGCTCGCGGTCAGCCGAGTTCTCGTTGCCCTGAAATATGTGTCACTTTTTGCGGACGCTCGTGCGCCATGCGGGAGACGAGTAACACGAGACCACGGCCCAGTTCCTCTGCAACCGCGAGGGACACACGCGCTCTATTCCGCGCGCGTTCCTCCTCGCGGCTTCGCCCGTTTGCTTTGCTTCCCTCTTCCCGCCCGTTCCCTTCCGTCCGCCTTTTTCTCCCGTCTCGATTCAACCGTACTCCGAGACTCCGTTTACGCGACGTCGTCGAACATGTCGCGAAATCTCTGCGCCAACGTTGCACGTAGAAAGTGTTCGCAATGGACCCCGATTTGTTCCGTCCGCCTTTTTCTTCTCTCTCCTGTCCCGTGTACCCTGAGACTCCGTTCCAACGTTCCGTTTCAGGAATGTCACGAAATTTTTGTCGCTTCGACCGACGAGGAAGGACGAAATGGTCCCTGACGTGATCCATTTACCTTTTTTTTCTGTCACGAGTCTCTCGTTTCCTAAAACTTTCTTGATGCGTTGCAGTCAAAGAATGGCACCAAATTTTTGGTGCCTAGATCGATGAGGAAATTACAAATGGTCCCTCACGTGGTCCATTTACCTTTTTCTTCTGTCACGAGTCTCTTGTATTCCGAGACTATCTTGATACGTTGCAGTCAAAAAATGGCACCAAATTTTTGGTGCCTAGATCGATGAGGAAATTTAAAATGGTCCCTGACGTGATCCATGTACCTTCTCCTGCTGTCCTAAGTCTCTCATATTCCAAAACTTTCTTGATGCGTTTCAGTCAAAGAATGGCACCAAATTTTTGGTGCCTAGATCGATGAGGAAATTTAAAATGGTTCCTGACCTGATCCATTTACCTTTTTTCTTCTGTCACGAGTCTCTCGTTTCCTAAGACTTTCTTGATGCGTTGCAGTCAAAGAATGGCACCAAATTTTTGGTGCCTAGATCGATGAGGAAATTTAAAATGGTTCCTGACATGGTCCATTTACCTTTTTTCTTCTGTCACGAGTCTCTCGTTTCCTAAGACTTTCTTGATGCGTTGCAGTCAAAGAATGGCACCAAATTTTTGATGCCTAGATCGATGAGGAAATTTAAAATGGTCCCTGACGTGATCCATGTACCTTCTCCTGTTGTCCTAAGTCTCTTATATTCCAAAACTTTCTTGATGCGTTGCAGTCAAAGAATGGCACCAAATTTTTGATGCCTAGATCGATGAGGAAATTTAAAATGGTCCCTGACGTGTTGCATTTATCTTTTCCTACTGTCCCGAGTCTCTTGTATTCCAAGACTTTCTTGGTATTCCAGACAAAGAATGTCACCCAATTTTTGGTTCCTAGATCGATGAGAAAATTTAAAATGGTTCCTGACGTGGTGCATTTACCTTTTCCTTCTGTCTCGAGTCTTTTACACTCCCATACTTTCTTGACACGTTTTATTTGAGAAATGTCACGAAATTTTTGTTGCGTTCATCGACGAGAAAAATCGAAATGTAGTCCACTTACTTTTTCTCCATTTCCAGTCTTTACTCCGAATGTCAGAAAACTTTCGTCGCGTCGACCGTCGTGGAAGTTATTTGGAAATGGTACCCGACATATCCCTCCATCCTTTGTATTTCATATCGATTGCCAAGTACTTCAGACGTACTTCCGTTTGCGCGTTGTCACCGGAAGATGTCGCGACGTCTTTGCTCCAGTTTCTGGCGTGCAAAGTGTCCAAAATGGACCTCGATACGTTTCGTTTGCCTTTTTCCTTTGTACCAGGTCTCGAGTACTTTAAAGCTGTACGCACTACCGGCGAAAGATGTCGCGAGATCTTTGCTCTAGCAATTGTCGCGTAAAGTGTTCTAAATGGACCTCGATGTGTTCCGTTTGCCTTCCTCCTCTGTCTCGATTCTCGCGTACTCCAAGTCTCCTTCACCTTCCTCGCGTTTCAGCTGAAAGACGTCGCCAAGTATTTGTCCCTGCAATCATTGTGCAAAGCATTCGAAATGGACGGATTTGATACGTACCATTTACCTTTTCCTCCATTCCCGATTCTAACCTTTCGTATTCTAACGACACTCGCTGAAGTTATGCACGGATCCCGACACGTTCTTTCGATTTTCTTCCTCGAGGTACACAGGTGTATATATATAGAATATCGCCGGAGACGTGGAATACATAAAGAAACAGCGAGATATTTTCGTAAGTGTTACGAACGAGCATCGTTTCCATCTGCACGCTCGATCTCGCTAGCCGTTTCTATAAAAATTCAAATTTCGTCCCATATCCGAGACGGGTTGCGTAAGAAGCTCGTTCCGAGCCAGTTTCGCGACAGAAAACTTTCGTTTTCGATTGATAAGCGACTCGGGAAAAATAGAGATCGAAATTGAGCGAGTTATCCCGACGGACAGGAGGTTTTCTATGGTGTGCCATGGGTGAAAGGGAATGAAAATAAGCGGATTCGTACCTTCTGGAGACGAGAACAGTATCTCGGAGCGCGATGCCGTTTCGCGTTATCGAGCTCCTCCTTTTTCTCCGACTTTTTCTCTTTTTCTCCGTTTTCTCCCCATCCAACGGATCGTTCGTTCGCTATCGAAACTTTCTATACGAGCATGTATATTTCACGACCGGGTGGGTGTCGATACTCCACCAAGTTTTCTTATCTCGCGGGATGGACTCGGGAAATATTCCGCGCTTCCCTTTCCCCCATATCTCCCAACTTATTCTCCTTTCATCATCCCTTAACGATCCTCCCATTTATTCCTCGCCATCGCCGGAGAAGATCCAACAAACACCTTCCTACGTAGCGTCGAAAGAAGCGTCAACCATTCGAAATGACTGGTTTTCCACTTTTTATTCCTGCTCTCGACAAAAACGCATAAACGCTTCCGATAAAACTGCACGTCGACTTTTACCGAGACAGAAACGCAATTTTATGTACCCGTTCATTTTCGTCCTGCTCGCAGATAAAATAATCGTTTGCGAATTTTTGTGTATTCCGCGTACGATTAAATTTGCATATTCCACGCTTAACCGAGGAACACAGGAAACGGAGAATTAAGGAAGAGTTTTAATCAAGCGTGGAATTATAATTATAAATCGGACGTTGACGAGGTGAATTCTTACCTGTAGCAGTCGTTACTGGGATTGTTAGCTGTCCTCGGTAAATGTAAATACGCGTTATAGGTCATAGTTCTCTCGTTAAAATATCGCGCCATCCGTCGCAGCAAAGAAATCACTCGGTCTGCGAAGCTCGTTCGAAGCTCGTTCCTCCTCGCTTCCGGCTACGAAATTGATGTTTGCATACCACTCTTCGGGGTTCAATCGTCCCCACGTGGAAGTGATTTTCAATGGCGCAACGACAACGACGACGACGACGACGACGATGATAACGACGACGACGACGATGACGACGATGACGACGACGATGAGGGCGACGAGAACAACCAGAACGAGGAGGACGACGACGAGGACAACAAGGACAACAAGAACGACGAGGACAATGAAAACGAAGAGAACGACGAGGACAACGAAGACGAGGAGGATAATGAGGACAATGAGAACGAGGAGGACGACGAGGACAACCAGGACGAAGAAGACGAGGAGGACGACGAGGACAACAAGGACAATGAAAATGGAGAGAACGACGAGGACAACGAAGACGAGGAGGATGACGAGGACAATGAAAATGAGGAGGACGACGAGGACAACCAGGACGAAGAAGACGAGGAGGACGAC